GTTTACTAGTGATGTTTTTGAACCATACGAAACTCTTAAACGATCCATCCTTAAACATGGAGATCTAATCGATCGACAAAGTTTAGACCAACTCCTCAACAACATCGACCTGCAACACGGTTCTGCCACAGACATGCTTCAAAGAATGAGGGAAGATATTGGCCTGTTCAAACAACTTTCCTTATCCAAACTTCCTCACCAGGTGCAAGCTGTGCCGGTCTCGTTTCAAAACAACGCCGTAGACGAGCTGGCTACATCTGCCCACCGTATTCTCGAAATAACTAAATCTTCTAATGCCGAGGGTTTTTCAGTCAAAGAAAAGCTTCAAACGACCCATAATGACATAACAGAGTTATGTCATATACTTACACGTAATCTGAAATCTCGTAACGACCGTAAACGGTCACACACTCCGCGAAAAAGCACATCACGTAGGCGGTCTGTCTCTAGACCTCGAGAGACGGATAATCCTGACTGGTGCTGGCATCATATCCAGTATGGAAAGTCCTCCAGAAATTGCAGAAAACCCTGCAATTTTCCCAACGCAAAATCGGTCGACGCGAAAAAAGATTTATGAAACTTCGAAGCCGGCACGCGTTAACGGCAGCCGTAGCCGTACTTTTTATATGTCACTGATGTGATAACGACTGCTCGCTACCTCGTCGATACTGGCGCAGAAGTTAGTGTTCTCCCAGCGAATTCCAACGACCGGCTTTACGAGTCGGTTTTAAATCTACAGGCGGCAAACGGAAAGCCTATCGCTACGTATGGTAAAAGGTATGTTTATCTTGACGCGGGTTTCTATGCCAATCATTGGTATGGACCTGCTACGGCACCACAACTTAATTATCGATACGCGCAAACGGAGGCTAGTAGACGGAGACACTAATTTATCTGTTTGCTTAACTTCTTTTTCTGGTTGCAGGTTATCTCCAGTCACTAATAAGCACACTATAGACCCCTTCTACCAACCAATACTCGATAAGTATCCTGGCATTTACCAATCGCAACCGAAATTGCCGTGTGTAACCAGCAACGTTACACATCACATCACGACTACAGGACCACTTGTATTCTTTAAAGCACGCCGACTGGCCCTGGAGAAGTTCAGGTTGGCGAAAAACGTATTTGACCATATGATAGACTTAGGAATTATACGACCGTCAAATAGCCCGTGGGCATCTTCGTTCCACATGGTCCCCAAAAAGGACAGCAACGATTGGTATCCAACTGGTGATTATCGGCGATTGAATGCAAAATGATTCCCGATCGTTACCCGTTGCCCCATATTCACGATTTGACAGCTACCTTGAAAGGTACAAATGTCTTTTCAAAAATCGACTTGGCTAAAGCGTATGACCAAATTACTATGGTCACTGACGACATTCCAAAAACCGCTATTATAACACCCATCGGACTCTATGAATTTTTGCGAGTGCCTTTCGGTCTGAGAAACGCGGCACAGACTTTCCAAAGTTTCATAGATGATGTTTTTCGAGGTCTCAACTTCGTACATGCGTATGTTGATGACTGCCTAATGGCAAGTCCGGACAGAGTATCACATCTCCAACATCTGGACCTTGTTTTCGACCGACTACAAAAACATTCAGAAATTCCAAATCGGACTTCTTACGACACACTATCGATACGCAAAGTATCCGACCTTTTAGAACAAAAGTGGCGGCCATTCTGGATTACCCAGAACCGACCACCATCAAGCAATTGCGCAAGTTTAACGGTTTGGTAAGTTTTTATAGACGATTCATACCGAAATGCGAGTCCTTTATGGAACCTCTTACCGACCAACTTCGTGGAAATGAGAAATCCATCAATCTCGATGACACCGCACGAAAAGCATTCTCCACGGTTAAGGAACTGATCGCTCAAGCGATCATGCTCGCTCATCAGGACCCTGAAGCGCCCATAAGTATCTCAGCAGACGCATCCGACTCAGCAATCGGAGCAGTCTTACAACGATGGGTTAACCACTCCTGGCAACCTTTGTCATCTTTCTCTAGACGGTTGCTAGACACTGAATCGGGGTACAGCACATTCGGTAGGGAACTCCTAGCTATGTATTGTGCTTTCCGACACTTTTAACGCTGTATCGAAGGTCGTGAATTCACCATTTTTACCGACCATAAACCTCTTACTTTCTTTTTAAGCTCATCTTCAGACAAGTATCCACCTGATCTTCAGCACGAATTATCGTCAACAACACTTAAACTGCGCGTTAAACAGATGGGAATACGTAAGGAAACCTTACTTTGTGACAAATCTACAGGTAGGGATCGCCCAATCGTGCCGTTTTCGTACGTCGAGACTCATATCGACGACTTCTCGAATCAGCATACGAAGGACCTTTCAAAATTCTTCGACGCGAACCTAAGTATTATATAATCAATAAGAACAGAACCAACGATGGTATCAGCATCGATCGCCTCAAAGCAGCGTATTTAGAAGGAAATCCTATTCACGTCGATTTTCCTTCAGTACAATCGCACGACACGACTCCTGCACTTGTAATACCTCAATCGACAGCTAACACACACGTTGATACTTCGGCGGTATCAGAAAATAAACTCAAAACAACGCATTCTGGAAGAAGAGTAAGATTTCCAGAACATTTGAACGATTACTGCACGTAAGATACAAGTTTACATTTTATATCATCTCGATATAAGTGTGTTTCGTCTCGAAAGTACCAACTACATACACACAAACACTGCGAGTTCACCAAACAAAATGAATGAGTTTTCCTAATTTGGTGACAATAATAATACCCGTGTGACAGTAATATGTGAAATGAGGGCATCTTAGGGAATCCCGAGTCAGAATTTGGTAAGGTTTGGCATATGTTTACTTTGTAGCGGTAAACAAATCCCAAAATACATAGCTCTGTAAGTCTTCGACATTGGATGCTGACCAAATTAGTTTTGATGGACTCATCTAGCTGAGGGCGCTCGGTCATGTATCCGCACCAGATCACGTGTGGGAACGCCGTGCTCAACATCTACTGCAGTCGCTAGCCAGATAAGTTCAGACGATCCTCGATATATTGATAGCTTATCAAATATATCTTCGAACATCCTCACTTCTGTCTTCTGGTTTCACTCAGTGGGTACGGTTCATATTAGAAGGTGTTACTGGTTTAAGCGTTGTCAAGCTCCGAATACTTGTGGCATCTTCAGCTTTATAATAAGAGAAAAACTGAAATGGGATGTGGAGAATCCCTGTATTTTTTGTTGAGTTTGCTAGCACATTGAGTTTAAAAGTTTACCAATCTTGATGAATGTCCATAGTGTTCTGCGAAATTGTCTAACATCTCAAAAACTCCAGTTGAATTTATCTGCGTAATATCCACTGCTTACATCAAGTACAACAATTCAGTCTTCCTGAAGTCAATATTTCTAAACATGTAATGAAGCTGATAACCCTATTGTAGATCGATTTTCCAATTTCATTGAAGAATTGAGATTATTTGGATATATGAAGATAGCATTTCAATGGAGAAAATGTCAGACTCTATCACGCGTAGAGGGCATCTTTAAAAATGGTGAATCCCTAACTGACAATTTCTATATCCTCTGGAAGACAGCAGTCCTGGCAGTAAATCTAAGCGCCGGGTTGGTATGTCAGAAAGCACAGTATTTAAACAAGTACACTTCTCCTGGCTCGGATAGAGCTTACTCTGCTATAATGATATGATGTTCGCCAAGCCAAGGCACGTTTGAAAAGAGTTGCGAGCAGAAACGAATCACACAAATTTCTGACTCAAATAAACTTTGACTCCATCGGTCAGAAGTGTTTCCTTCAATACCCTCAAAAGTTATGGAGTATTGGATATACGATGGTTTTTGCAGCCACTTGCTGTCTCTATACTTTTTTCACCACAGGAACATGGTCTTAAGAAAAGCTACCCTCGGATAACCAACATATTGAATGTGATAAATAGATGGCCAACCATCTGTGATCACAAGGAAAAATTGATGTGATAGAATCATTCAATATCCTCAAACTATTATGTATCAGGTCATCGTAAAGAGAATGGTTTATTTGGTTTCTGAGTGATTGGCTTTTTAGGGTCAGGGCAAAATATACCTTCTCTCAGGCAAGCGAATGCCACGACGGCGTCCTTCATGTTCAGCGCCCAGACCTCCTCTCATTTTATTTATGTGGATGAAGTTCCTCAGTAGGTATCGGTTGAGTTATTACTTTCCGCTGACGATGGTGAACTTTGGAGAGAAGTTCGCAACCGAGATCATTCGTTGTCGTCTGGAGCTTCAGGTAGCCCGACTTGACTTTAGAGTTGGAAGGATAACAGTGGATTAACCCTCATCACTTCAAGGTCCAAAGTAGTTCATCTGAGACACTGAAGACTATGAATGCGACTTAGGTATCTCCTCTTCAGGAGTATTTAAATTTTAAACGAATCTGAAAGTCTTGACACCCTACCGTCTAATCTCTTGTGCTTTTGTGACAAAAATTCCTTTAGAACAAAGCTTGCACTCGCAACTTTGAAGCGTGTTTTAGCAAGTTTGACAGTAAGACTTCAAACTTAATCTTCAATAATTTTAATCTTCCTCATTTAAGATGTGGAAAGATAGCGTTTTTTTCCCAATAAAAATGATAAGAACGTGTTAGAATGCATCAAAAAGAGAGCTGCAGAAGATCAGTTTCAACACAGTGCTTAGGGGTCCAGATGTTAGAGGCACAATGCGGCAAAACAGACGACAGAAGCGCATTCTAATGTGAGTGAATGGTAAAATGCTTGTGTTTTCTGTAGTTTTAGGTGGTTCAAGTTACGTTCCAGGATTCCTTCATGAGGAAAGTCACTATAACATACAAATATATTTCTTTCCATCGTTAAGTATAATTAGGCTACGACTCAGAAGCATTAGTGATTCACCAAAACTAGATAGGAAAGCTCGTTGGGCGAAAGCTTTTCTTTTTCTTTCACAACCATCTGAGCCATTCCATGGTTATTGAATACTGAAAGAACCGATTTCAGGTAGTACGTTACGTGTGGTCAGGCTGGGTGGATTGTATTGGAAATCGCGTATTTTCTTTAGAAAATCCTCTGTGGTTTGTAAGTGCAGTTCATACCAGAATATTGTTTTTTACATGTTGTTAATGTCATATTCGAGTCTTTGAAAATTTTTTATCGTCAGTCATCACATAAACATTCGTCGACATATGTCGAGGATCCTCAACATGTATTTCAAGGAATAGTTTGTTTCATAACCACATGCTGTGGGGAAATGTCTGGACTGCACTTTTAAATTATTTTTTGATTTTGTACTCATTTGTCTCGTAAGGTGATCAGATGATAGAGTTACACCTCAACTCGTAGAATGTGATTGTCCTGTATTTTACTGGTGAACAGCTTTGATATTCTAACTCGTTGAATCGATTGGGTGGAAAGCAGTAAATGCACGGCTTTTTACTTTGATCAGTTGTTATAATCCCGTCGAGCTTCAATGCCCCCTTCAATTTAGCCCAACCCATGCAATCCGCACTTAATCAGTTGGCAATCAATGTCCGTAGGTATGGTATGTGCTTTGCACCTTCGAAGTGCAAAGTACTTCTATAAGACTGGCAGGATTTTAATCCTGTACTCACTCTGGATGGTGAGCAGATAGAAGTAGTCGAGAAATTCGTGTGTCTGGGTAGCTGCAGAAATGCTGGTGGTGGCGTGATTGATGAAATCAACGCACGTATAGTGAAAGCCTGAGCGGCTTATGACAATCTGGGCCATCTTTGGCGGCTTCGTAATGTCAGTCTGGCTGTAAAAGGTCGGATATACAACGCGTCGGTGAGAGCAGTTCTGCTCTATGCTCGTGAAACCTGGCTTCGAGTTGAGGATGTCAGACGACACTCTGTGTTTGATCATCGTTGTCTCCGAAGGATTGCTGACATCCAGTGGCAAAACCATGTTAGTAATGCAGAAGTTCGACATCGTGTGTTCGGGCACAGAGACGATAATGCAATTAGTGTCACTATCTTGAAACACCGACTTCGGTGGCTTGGACATGTTCTACAAATGGCGTCCCAGAAAATTCCTCATCGTGCATTATTTGCCGACTCTGGGACTGGTTGGAAAAAGCGGAGAGGTGGTCAGTGTATGACATGGTGTCGTGGTAATAAAGAAAACTGCAAACGGCTGGCTTGTGTTGGTCCTTCACGACTCCCAGGTTGGGGTCCGAGAGACGGTGTAACGCAGTGGCTAGAGACGTTATCAGATATGGCTCAGAATAGAAGCCAGTGGCGATCCTGCTGTAACCTTCCTTTACTTTCTTCATAAAAAGTGGTTGCTTCTTCCTTAACTGAAGGATTTCTTCTGATTGTACCTTTTCGTTTACCCCATTATTACTACTATTACATTAGCATACACTAATCGGGTCGTTATTGTTCTCTTTTTTTTTGTAATTTCCTACGTTCCTTACCTTTTTTTCCCTTCTCTTTAAATTCTCATTGTTTTGTGTGGCGCATATATATTTGGTTCCCCTTGTACCAATATTCATGTTTTCAAATAAAATAAAATCATTAATAATAATAAATAAATGCCTGAGACCCGGAATTGTGGTTTTCATCATGGACTGACATAAGCTATAACGCCAAAGTGCTAGTTTACCTTATGTATTAGTGAATTTCGGGTCAAAATCCATGACTTGGTACCTTAAATCTGATTAGTTTGTACATAACCTATAGTCCGGTGAATAAAACTAATAGGACTTAACATTGATTTTTATCCGTGATAAGGATTTCCACTGCTGTTCAACTCGTACGTTCTTCTAGAGTGCTACTACTCAGGTCATTAGTCTCACATCTATCGGTCGTTAACAAGGTTTTCAGTCCTATTATAAGTCTGTGAACGGTTATCGATTTCCGGTCACCCATATTGTGGAATGATTTCACTTCTTGGACGACCTAAAAGTAATCTGGAAGCTTGACAACAAACTCCAAGAGACAGTTTCTTAAAATGTCACATGTAGCCATTTTGCCAAAGGTTCTTAAAGTCGTTGGTCTGTGCTTTGAAGGACTTACAGCCAGTGAAGTTGATTTATTTGAACACAAATATTTGTACAGATGGGCACCAAATATATATGCGCCTCACATGCCACTTGATTTGTGTGTGGGCTTTGATACTGCCCGGTTGCCTACACCGGAGCAGGTGGTTTTCTTAGGGGGCCACTCCCGAAGCCTTCGACCTAAAGGTCTGATCCACAAGGCATTGGTGCAACGTAAGGAGATGCAGTCCCATGGTATTCGGTAACCAATGATTGGTTCATACGTCACTTGTTCCCTTAGGATCCTGGGGCCCATGCGCATCACTGGTTTAAAACTAGGGTTTCCCAACTCCTCTAGGTAGACTCTCAGTATCCACCAACCCGGTTAGATCGCCGGACATTCGCTTTTCGTCCTCCCGATTTCGTAAACAACACCTCCGCCATGAGAAGGCAGTGAGTAGGACTTCCTTGACAGTGGCTGTATATGCGTGGCCATGTGAAAGCATCTCGAGAGGGAGAGCTGACTCTCCCCACCTTCAGCATTTGGGGGCAGTCAGTAAAGGGAATTCGTTTGACAGTGTGCCTTATGTTGTTTCTTAATTGAACCCTTTCTACTCCCTTTTGTATGAAAGCCGCATCTCTAGAGGTGCTGTTTGTAGGAGATATCTTACAGCCTTCACATTTTAGTACAGTTTAGAGTACGTCTTCGCCCTCAAACGATTTGTTACTTTTATTATCTTCCTACAACTGACTTCGGTGGGATGATACGGCCTAAGAAAATAAATGTTTTCGCCGATATAGCTTGAATGGGTCACTACGGTATCCAATCTCGATCACCATATCAAGTTAGCTTTGACTGAGGACATTCAATGTAAAATACATATACACACTCAGGATATATACAAATTATATGCATTTGCTATACTTGTCTATATTATAAGTAATCAAAATGAATAGAAATATCTGCGAGTAAACAAACAATGTATATGATAGGTAAGAATAAGTGACGGGTAATGGGATTTTAAGTGTTCCATTCCCTATCAACAGTTTCACGATCTCATGGGCTTTTAATTAGTTATTAACACAAATGTCACCTCGTGGTTGGCAGTGGAAAACTTGCCCCCGAATGCCCTGGTATGGCCGTGAGCGGGGAGGGTTCGCCCTCCCTCTCGAAATACTCTCACACGGCCACGCGTATACAGCCTCTGCCAGGGAAGTCCTACTCACTGCCTTCTCGTGGCGGGGGTGTTGTTTACGAAAATGAGAGGACGAAAATCGAACGTCCGGCGCTATAACCGGATCCCAATTCTATGGTGCACATGGGCTCCAGTATCCTGCGGGAACAAATGGCGTATGAACTAACTTTTGGTCACCGGCTTCCATGGGACTGCATCTCCTCACGATGCTCCACTGCCTTGTGGACTAGACCTTTAGGTCAAAGGCTCGGGGTGTGGGGCCCCCTAAGAAAACCACCTGCTTCGGTCTGGGCACCCGGGCAGTATCTCAGCCCACACTAAAACTATGATGAACTATCTGCTTATAGAAAATATTCGTTTCTCTCCGACTAACATTGAAATGACTGGTATTATTATTATTATTATTATTATTATTATTATTATTATTTACTACGTCGTTTATTCACTATCTCCCATTTCTACTTTTTGTATCCGTTTCGACTCAGACAGCAGCTCGCCTATGGTGAAAATTCAGCTTTATCTAAACGTTCTCGAGTCACTGCCTGGTTGAAAATTGTATGTTACTACCGAATATGAGTACTGAAGCAGTTTTTCTGAAACCACGTGCACCATTCAAACTGGCTGCCTTCAACGTTCGCACACTTATGCAGGTCGGACAACAGATAGGGCTGGCTATGTCTTTGGAAAGTCTTAATATTGATGTGTGTTGTCTATCCGAGACCCGTATTCAAGACTCTGGTGAAGTACTACAAGTTCGCTCTCCATCTGTCACTTCAAAAAGCTTGTTTTATGTGCGTTTATCCGGGGACCCTGTGGCATCTTCGTCTGGTCTTGCTGGCGTTGGTGTCGCACTAAGCGCAAGAGCTGAGGCATCACTAGTCGACTGGATCCCCATTAACAGTCGGTTATGTGCTGTTAGATTAGAAAGTTCCATCAAAGTGGGAAGAAATCGGCGTGAGAAACGATGTCTTTTCGTCATCTCCGCCTATGCCCCGACAGATTGCAGCCCGGATGCAATCAAGGACGAGTTCTACCATCAGCTAACTGTTCTTCTCCAGAAAGTGCGTTCGACAGATATTGTAGTACTAGCTGGAGACTTGAATGCTCAGGTCGGGCGTCTAGGCACAGAAGAGAGTCGTTTAGGTGACCGATGGGGACTCGTTGGTCGCAGGACAGATAACGGGGAACGTCTACTGCAACTATGCACAGACCACAACCTGTTTCTGGCTAGCACTAACTTTCTGCATAGTCATCGCCAATGTGCCACCTGGCGTCCCCCTTCTGCATCTCAAGCCTGGACTCAGATTGATCACATCGCGATCAGCTACCGCTGGCGTGGTTGTGTACAAGACTGCCGCTCCTTTTGGAGTACCTATCTGGAATCTGATCATGCTCTGGTCTGCGCCAATCTTACCTTACTTTTCAGTGGACAACGAAGTGACCGCCACCAAAGGATTGATGTTAGCAAGCTGGCTGCAACTTCTGTTGCTAGTAAGTACCGAACCGAGCTAGCTTCTAGGCTAGCTACCATTCCACCGAAAAGTATAGATGAGCATTGGTTGCAATTGCATGACGCCATGAAAATGGCGGGTACAGTCTGTTGTGGGTTTGCGAAACGTCCCGCTTACAAGCACTGGGTTTCTTCTGGTTCCTTACAACTGATTGAAGCCCGTCGGTCTACTCCGGGTGACCGTGAGTTTGACCACAGACGAAGGATGTTACGTAATGAAATCGGGCAAAGCTTGCGTAAGGACCGAGAAGCCTGGTGGTCGGAGCGTGCCAGTGAGTTGGAAGCAGCAGCTGCATCTGGTAATTACCGGAAGCTCTTCCAACTCATCCGAGCCACTGGCAGCAAGAAGTTTGGTGTGAGCGAAACAATCTGC